GAGGCAATATTACGTGACCTCTACCAAGACAACGTGATACTAGAATGTTCTTGAGTGTATACAAGCACATGATGAACAAAATTAAACATGTGGCATCCTTTATTAAGAAAACCGAGAACCTGCTTAGATCTTGTCTTGCCTAGTGTTAGTGAATAGTGATGCTATCCATGCATGTTGTAGTTAACCAAAAGAAATCATACTTTACAAGGATCAGGACAGATTCTGCATGTAATAGATGAACAAAATTAAACATGTAGCATCCTTTATTAAGAAAACCGAGAACCTGCTTAGATCTTGTCTTGCCTAGTGTTAGTGAATAGTGATGCTATCCATGCATGTTGTAGTTAACCAAAAGAAATCATACTTTACAAGGATCAGGACAGATTCTGCATGTAATAGCAAGACAAACAAACCCAATTAAATTCATAAGCCGAAGCAAACTGAAAAACTGCCAATTTTATTCTGTCAGAAGCACACTATGACAATGAAAGAGAACGAGATAATATGATGGCATGAACAAGCCTTTGAAAGAGATATATGTTATACATTTGCAGCGTGGCAAACTCCTGTTTTATCAAATAAAAGTAGGATACAAGCTTGGGAACTCGTCTCACTCACAATTAGCAGAAATTCAGAATCCTGAAAAATTAATCCTGGAAATAATAATCGAAGAGAAGACATGCTGCTCTGCCTCTGAATGACTTTTCCTATGTGCAACTTAACCAGGTTGAGATCAGATGTCAGAGAATCCAAGATCATGAAAACAGCAATGTTTACTGGACACTGCTAGTAACAGTATCCTTCTTTGATCAGAACACAGCTTGGCAAATTCAGCAAGCAGATCCTAAAGCAACCAACCCAGTAATATAGCAAATGCACCGAACAGATTCATGAACCTGAATTTGATATCCCGACCCAATCTTTTTTCTCTATGGCCATGGAAACTATGGTTGGCAATGGTGCCAACGCTTTATTTTGGAAGGATAGATGGCTATTTGGACAACGCATCGAGGATGTTGCACCTCTCTGGTTGCTGCTGCTCCATCAAGGAAGGCTAACAAGCCCACTGTACTCCATGGCTTGGCTAATCACAGTTGGATCCGAGATATACAGGGAGCTTTCTCAGTTGGGATCCTTGCTGGATCTATAAATAAATCTTTGGGATCTTCTTTCTGATGTTGAACTACAGCCAGAAGTTGCGGATGAACATCGTTGACGCCTCTCTTCATCAGGACTATACTCAGCTAAATCTGCTTATGAAGGATTCTTGCAAGGTTCTGTCAAATTTCGGTCTTCTGATCATATTTGGAAAACATGGGCTCCAGGGCGTTATCATTTCTTTGTGGATTGTGGTTCAGAACCGCTGCTGGACTGCAGACCATCTTGCCAAACATGGACTTCCACATCCGGTTCAGTGTCATTGCGACCAAGCTGAGGAAACAATTGATCACTTGCTCACTAGCTGTGTGTGTTTGCAAGGCAATTCTGGTTCTCCCTCCTCAATCGCTTTGGGCTGCAAACTCTAGTGCCGACGGTCAATGATGCTTCTTTTGAGGACTAGTGGTATAGAGCTGATGATATGTTGATGCACAATTGCAATGAGGCATCAACTCTCTCATTATCCTAGGGGCTTGGACACTATGGAAACATAGAAACAAATGTGTCTTTGATGGCTTTGCCGCCAATATGGCTACAGCCTTGCTGCTTGCTGAGGAGGCCCAATTTTGGGCATTGGCTGGAGCACGAGAGATCTCTTTCTTGTCAGCCCTTTTTCCTAGGGGCTAGGCCGTTCCAGGTCTGTGTGTACTTATATAAAAAAGGCACGTATGTAATTTTGTGATCCTTTGGGTGTGTGGGTGTTGGTGTAACTAGGTTTCTTTACCCTTTTATCCTTCTTTAATATAACGATATGCAGCTCTCCTGCGTGTTCAAGAAAAAATATATATAGCAAATGCACAAGGAGTATAGGACACTCAGCAATAAGCCATGCAACAGGGAAAGCATACAATGACCAAATCACGCTGCGTAACTATTTATGAAGTGAAGGTAAGAGGAAAAAAGAAGTGGAGAAGAAGAATAGTATGGTATCACTCTAAAGAATTTAGAGTTTATGGACTCACCAATCGAAGAAAAGCTTGTCCAACATCGGTTGAGGTGGTTTGGCCATGTCCAAAGGAGACCTTCAGATGCACCGGTGCATTGTGGAGTCCTAAGTCGAGTTACCAACGTGAGGAGAGGTAGAGGAAGACCGAAGTTGACATGGGAGGAGGCAATAAAAAGATATCTAAAAGGATGGGATATACGCAGAGATCTCTGTTTGGATAGGAATGCTTGGAAAGTAGCTATTAACGTGTCTGAATCGTGACCAGGGGCTCATGTTGGGTTTCAACTCTAGCCTACCCCAACTTGCTTGGGACTAAAAGGCTTTGTTGTTGTTGTTGTTGTATGGACTCACCTTTTATTGCTCTATTGAGTTGATGACCATCAAAGCATAAAAACAGGTGTGAGATCATCCCATCGGTATTACTCAAGAGCATAGCTGGTTCACAACAAGATAACAACAAATATTTTATCCCAAACAAGAAACAGTTCAACTAGAAAACAAAGTTCTCAAATCAGTTTCATGCCATGTCAAGTTCTAACATTGTCAACAAAGCTATACTCAAACTCGAACTTGAGATTTGTTGCAATGGTTATGGAGAATGTGATAACTGTAAGCATCCTTTTCATAGCACAGCTTGTTCCACTCATGAATTAGACTACCAGGAGAGAATAAATTGTTGAGACAAAAAAAAGAAAGGTAATAGACATGAAACAGTTACTACTATGTGTTGGCCCCTGGATTCCCTGCACAGGTGAGCAATCAGCTCACCAACACTCAAACACACTTGGCTAGAGGAGGAAGAAGGGGTTGAGAGCAGGGCACACAAGCACAGCACTTGCACAAGTCTGAAAAATCTGAATGTGTAGCACCCTGAACTGAAATACTGGAGGGGGGGAGCAGCAGATTATCTTACACTATGAAAGTCGTCGGAATGACCCCAACACTTTGTGCCTAACAAAAGCAGTGAGTATTTTTGTTATGGCATGAAGACAAACTGAGCTATTTATTTGGCTGTCAGAAACAAGCTGTCGAATTGAGTGATTGAACACAATGGTAATCTAGTAGGGTATCAACTACGTTCAGTTGGAGAACTTTCAGATGGAAAGTACAGCAATGAACAGCAAACAAATAACTCGAGATGGTACTTTATTCAGCTTGAGTAATACGTGAGGGGTTTTTCAAACAACAACAAAATCAAAATTATGTAAGGTGGTAGGATATTGAAACCCCACTGGTTCACTATGCAATTGTTTTTATAAAATAAACAAGATGCACATAACAGGGAAAGTAGTAACACTCACAGTTGCCGTCTCATGAGAAGATGCCGTTACGCAGTCCATCAGAAACTGAAAGCAAGATAGTATGAAGTTAAAACTGTGGTGAAAGAATGCAAATCATATGAGCCATTAATTGCATAGTTCAACACTAATAGCACGACATATACATTCACCTCTACTCAGGGAGTGGGCATGTTAGCTTCAGATGAGGATGACGGTTGCAATTGAATAAGGTAGAAGTAATTGAGTAAGCCTAGGTGACACGTCATTGAAAAGATCTTAATAAAACAAGAAAAGGTAATATCCAGAATTATACCAGAAATGATCATATCAAAAAAGGAAACTAAAATGCTGAGCATACGTCAAATTGCCTGACAGGTGGCAAGCACTAGAATAGCATCTTGAGGTAGGCGACAAATCACCTTAAGTAGCAATAAGATGTGAAGGAACTGCTAATTAAAGAGTTCATGCATATCAGCAAATGGATCGGTCAAATATAAAAGAGAAGATGAGCAATGTTCAATTAAAGGCAACTCTGACTTATAAGTTATAACTAATGCCACTTGTTGACGTAATTTCTGAAGTACAATCTGGTAGACATACTAAATTCATAGTAGAGGAAGAAACAAAAAACTGCACGCGTCTCATCAACGAGATCAAATTCATGTGTAACCAGCAATTGAACGAGCCTAGTTATGTATCCATATGCCCATGCAAGAACCATAAGCTAAATGGATTCAATCCGTAGATCATCCAACATATCATAATACGAACTGAACACAATAGTGTGATTTTTTTCTTTCAGGCAGTGGGCAACTGGCCTTGTTAACTTCAGATGAGGATGGTGATTGCAGTTGAGATAGAAGTGAACGAGTAAGCCTAGTTGACACTTCATTGAAAAGATCACAATGAAGCTATAAAAATGGTAATATCAAGAATTATACCAGAAATTATCATTGAACAAACAAGGAAACTAAAATGCTGAGCATAAGTCAATCACCAGACAGGTGGCAAGCACTAGAATAGCATCTTGAGGTAGGAGAAAAAACACCTTAAGTAGCAATAAAATCTGAAGGAACTGCGAATTAAAGAGTTCATATAAAAGAGACGTTGAATCGGTATATCAACAAATCGTGTGGTCAAAGATAAAAGAGAAGATGAGCAATGGTCAACCAAAGGCAACTCAGACTAATCACTAATGCCACTTGGCCACCATAATTCTAAAGTACAATCTGAAAAACATACTAAATTCAGAGTAGAGAAAGAATCAAAACCCGCCAGCATCTGATCGCATGATCGCATTCACATGTAACAAGCAATTGAATGAGCCTAGTTCTATAAACATATGCCTATGAAGAACCATAAGCTAAATAATCTAAATCCACAAAATATCAAACATATCATAACAGGAACTGGAGATCATATTGCGAATTTTCGTTACCCAAATTACTGTATTTTGTATTACTACATAGCAAGCATGCTCTTCTCTGTATATATGTCTTTGTTTTCACATCCAGATCAGTACAGACAAACAACCAAAACTTTATAGCACACTAAGCTAACAAGATAAGCGACGAACAGAGATCTACAAGGCTAATACAACAGTACAGCGAGACACTCTAGTGAGCCGCGACCACCATGTCAGGCGCGCTGAGGAACTCGACCGGCAGATCGGAGCTGGGAGGCGGCGGAGCGAAGAGCGCCACGGACTTGGCCGCCACGAGCTTCTTCCGCTGGGGGCACCGGGGCGCGAGGAGCCTCGACGCGGGCGCGAAGTAGGGCACGGCCGCGACGCCCTCGCCGTCTCCAGCCCCAGGAGATGGCGATGGGGGGGACGCCGGCGCCGCAGCCGGCGATGAGGGCGGGGGCAGGCGGGTGGCGCGACTCCCACGGCGAAGCCTGGCGTCGCGGAGGCGGGCGAGTGCCCCGGGGCGGAGGAATCGGAGGTGGTCACCGCTGGCGGCGGCGGACGGGGAGTGGAGCTTGCGTGTGGCTGCCATGTGGGCCCCGGGCGTTGGTGAGGGATGAATCGCAAGATTTCGTGTTGTGGTGGAGGCGGCGGGGAGAACGGGGGGTTTTGAAGGGGGCTAGGGCTGTGCGCCTGAGCGGGAGGCGCGACGTTTGGGAGGGAAAAGGTTTGCGCGAACCGCAAGGTGTACGCGGCTGTTTGCCGCGTTGACCCGATGTCGAGTGGGTCCAGGAGCGCGTGGGATCCACATGGCGGTGAGATTGTCCGCTCACTGTTTTGGAGGGAATTTTGTGAGGGAGCGGGCGCCCGCGGTTCGAAACGGAACGGCGGCGGCCGGCGGGTGGCGCACTAGCGCGTGAGGCGGCGTGAGGCGTGAGGCCGACGCGTTTGCGCGCGTGGCACGGCCAGATCAGCGACAAGGCCGCAACGGTTGTATGGGCCGGGTGGCCGGAGAAGTTGGGTCCAGAGCTCACGGCTTTTTTTTTTTCTCACACACTATAAAATTAACTTAAGACAACTTTAAAAGCTAGTTTATTCAAGAATGGAGGAAGTATCTTAAATGGCTTGACCCCGATTCAACAATGCCACCTGGGGCGTCATCTATCCCCAAAAAGATGGTCGATGAGCAACCATAGAGGTTGAGAAAAAGCTATGGCAAGACGATAAATTAAAACATAGAAGGCATGTTTGGATCACTGTGTGGTGATATTTGCACTCCACTATTTATGTCCTCAAGCCAAACCTACAAGTCTTTCTTAAATTAGTTGGGCCAAAATATCTTAATATTTGCACTCCACTATTTATGTCCTCGAGCCAAACCTACAAGTCTTTCTTAAATTAGTTGGGCCAAAATATCTTAAATACGCGTGTGGTGAGCCAACTAGGCAACCTTCTACGTGGAACCAACTCCACGAGTCTCTTTATATTATTTCTTATTTATAAGATCATAGGAACAAAGATTATTGATGAAAAATGTCTTCCAACGGTTTATTTAATTAGGTCTTCAAATATTTGTCATCTTTATTATGAGTTTGTCTCTATAGAGTGCGTACAAGATATATATATGTTGTTGGAGGGTGAAATGATATAAAGAGTGAATTTTATTTAAAAACTCTTCAAATGATAAGTTAGAGAGTGAGTTTAAGGCTCTAACGTGCACATGCCCCGTAGTGTTTGGTAAATAATCGAAGAATGATAGAACACGAAAAAAATATAAAGTAAACCGTACCAAATTCTACACATTGAATAGTTGGATTTTGCAAAATATGAACACCAGACAATGCAATGAGTGCAGTTTGGCAAGCCTCAAGATTTGAAAATAACTTTACTAAATTCATCTAGACAGGGGATCGAACTCTCTACACTGGATATTCTTGTGGATATTATATATTACTCTCTCCATTCCAAATTATAATTTGTTTGATTTTTTTATCCAAGTTTGACCGCTCGTCTTATTCAAAAAATTTATGCAAACATAGTCAAATTTAAGTAATTCTTGAAGAAATTTTGTTAATAAAGTAAGCCACAACAAAAGAAGTGATATTTAGCATAAAAATTTGAATAAAACGAGTGGTCAAACTTATGGTACAAAAGGTCAAACGAACTATAATTTGGAACGGACTTAGTGGTGTTTTATCTTTACTTGACAGCGAGTTGCCTCGATCTTTCGCAAAGAGAAAACAAGATATCAGAGTAGATTTTTTTCGTGAAATCAATACATGTCTATAGTATTTTGTATTCCCAATGAAAGGGTTTTCTATTTTCTCCATTTGAAACGTTCTTCCACTGCTTCTTTCATTTGTTTCTGATTTTTTTGTGAACCCAACAAGGCTGCCTCCTCGTCTTTGCCTGGCGACTGGCGTAAAGGCTTTTATAGGGTGTTTGGTTTGAGGAATAAATCGATTCTACATGAGGTGGTATATCATGAGCCAACTTTTCTCAAATTTCACAAAATGACTCTATTTTCCATATTTGTACTAAATATTAGCTTATGAGAAATGAGACGACGATACATCAACCTATTCCAATTTTCACAAACCAAATAAAAATGTGAGTGAGAAGATGGTCAACCGACACATTCCTCAAATAAAATACCCTATTAGTGTTTGGCTCCTTGTAGTTGGATAATCAACTGCTTCTTCAAGTTTCATATGACAAGCTCCTTTACCCTCTCAAGAAAAGCGTGTGCGGACACGTCGTATATATGGTTAAAGCAACCAAAGTAAGCACAAATAGCATATATATGTTTACTCATCCTTTTTATTTAAACTCATCAGATTATCATACGTTTGGATTATTTTGTACTTATATGAAATTTGGAACGAACCAAATTTAAATGTCAACATGCATGCTCACATTTGGAATTATTCCATAAAAATCAAGTACATATTCTCTATGTTTCAAACTGTAGTTCATCTTGGCTTTGTCATAAGTCAAAACTTGTTAACTTTGATAAGTAAATAGAAAAATGCACCAACATCTACATCATCTAATTTTTCATTAAATTCCTCATAAAGCATGTTTTAATAAAACATTTATTTGAACTTGTTGATGCTACTATGTTTTTTCCCTAAAAACTTGACCAATGTATAAATATTTGACTTCAAACAAAGCCAAAGTACTATTTTTTGAAACAGGTGAACTAAAACATCATTAAGGGCCTATTTGGACTGGCTGGGAATAAAAATTTAGCACAATTTATCAAAAATTGGCTAACTAGTTAGCTACAAGCCCTCCTATTTAGATGCGCTAGATCTAATTTTAGATAATTTTGAGCTACGTAGCTAACAATTACTCCCTCCCTACCAAACTATAAGACATTTTGATTTTTTAAATACATCGCATTTGCTATACATATAGATACACACTATTTTCTAACATAATAAAAGCAATATATCTAGAAAAATCAAAACATCTTATAATTTAGACCGAATGGAGTAGTCTCTGCCCTAAAACGTGCTTCTTCTCTTTTACGTGCACAAAGTGCATGTTTCTGTGTCTATACTAATTTGTAATTTCATTTCACGCTCATATTTGTTTTGTTAAAAAAAACTACACCCAGATCTGTGGTCCGACACAAGACACAGCCCAACCACGCCTCGTTCGGTCGCACCAGACCCAAGTCCGACCCATCACCCTGACCTGAAGCGCGACTACAGCAGAAGTGCAGAACCGTCCGATCCCGGATCCAACAGCCAAAACCCGCCATCCTCGAAGCCCTAGCGCCACCACCCTATATAATCCTCGCCCCTCTCGCGCGCTGCGCTCCCATTTCCCCAACCCCCAAACCCTACCGGCGGTGCAGCAGCATCACCACCGCCGCCCGAAGATGGTGAAGTTCCTCAAGCCCGGCAAGGCCGTGATACTCCTCCAGGGCCGGTTCGCCGGCCGGAAGGCGGTGATCGTGCGCGTGTTCGAGGAGGGCACCCGCGACCGCCCCTACGGGCACTGCCTCATCGCCGGCCTCGCCAAGTACCCCAAGAAGGTGATCCGCAAGGACTCCGCCAAGAAGACGGCCAAGAAGTCCCGCGTCAAGTGCTTCTTCAAGCTCGTCAACTTCACCCACCTCATGCCCACCCGCTACACCCTCGACGTCGACTTCAAGGACGTCGCCTCGGGCGGGCCCGACGCGCTCTCCACCCGGGACAAGAAGGTCGAGGCCTGCAAGATCGCCAAGTACCGCCTCGAAGAGAGGTTCAAGAGCGGCAAGAACAGGTGGTTCTTTACCAAGCTCCGCTTCTAGGTGCCCGGCGTCCCGCATAGTGACTGCTTTAGTTGTCAATTTATTGTATCGGGAACCCTTTAAGCTATCTCTGTTTTGCTATTGCCATGAAGGCTTCGTGCTTGGTATGGATCTCGGAGAAGATTTTGTTAAAAACATGTCGATGATGTGTAAAATGATGCGAAAGGATACATCTGGTTGAAATTTTGTTCAGAATCACTGCTTGTGATGTGCTGTTAATCTTGTTTAGAATCACTGCTTGTGATGTGCTGTTAATCTTCTGCGTTCTTAGTCTTGCGGGTCTCCGATTTTGTTGATGCATCTTATAGTTCTCCATCACTGAATGCTCCTTGGTTGACATGTGAGTGATACCTGATGGTTTACAGCCCTTTATTCATGAATATAATGGAAGATGGAAATGCATCTTTCTAGCTGGAGGGGTCCTTAATCGTTGGGTAATTAACACTTAAATTATGTTGATGCATCAAAAGGACTATGTTTTCCTGGATAGTTACTCGTTGAGTTTGTTGCTGCCTCTGCTGTTACCTGCTGAGTGTTCATAAAAGGACAATTCAAACAGTCGTTTCAATGGTGGCGAAATCATATCATATAGATATAGTTATGCACTTCTATGGATTGTTGGCACTGAATTGAAGACTGGTAATTGCTTTGATTAGTAATTCTCTCTCTGGTCTAAGCTCTGTGGAGCATACTACTTACCTATGTACTAGTCATATAGTGCACCATTGAGTCCCCAATCCACGAAATATACAATGTTTCTGCACTTAACATAATACCATCAGAACATGGCCATGTTGTGTTTAACCTGTGTTCTAGTTGTCATTTGCATTGCTTTAGTTTCATCCATTAGCTTAATAGCATCATTTTTTTTTTGTTATGTTGTGCTAATTTAGGTTCCAATTCCATTAATTCACAACATTACTAACCTGTGATAAGCCAACAGCAAATTAGTGTTGTCAGTTGTGCATTGTGCTACTCCAGTGGCAAAGCAAACCTAAAGATTGGGCGTTTATGTTTGTAAATATATGTATTCTGAAATTGGTACTGGCCATGGTATGTTTCCTGCCTATTTTATGACTTCTGAATAATTTGCAGTAACACTGTCGATTTAGGTCAAATCATAATTGAAACACTCCTACCATTATTCTTAGTGTCTGAAGATTAAATATTTTCATGAGTATTCGCCATTAATATTTGATCGAATATGGAGCTTGGGCAGACCATGTGAATTTCCTTTGATTCTTCAAATGAGTTTCAAATGAGGCTTTTAATAATACTAAGCAATAAAATATTTGCATCTTGTTGGTGTGAGACTACTTTACATTGGCAAAGTACAGGTTGCGGTGACTATATGTGATAACTACAGATAACCGTTTGTATTGCATTAGCCATGACGCCATGTGATTGAGCTTACAGCTTGCCCCTGCCCTTGTTATGGATATTATGGATGCTAAAATTCTGCTGGATAACAATAACTGTCTATTGCTTGCTGTATTGTCAGTTATGAACTTGCAATTGTTACCTGTCATGCTTCTATCCAGTGCATTTGCGACTTGTCAGTTGGAATACTCCATTACTGAATGTCTAAGGTATCAGGCCGCAGTTTCCCCTGCTTGAAGAGCTGCACTTGTTCAAACTTATATCTGCGTCGAGTTCTGATTTGATGCTCTTGCGGGCGTCGGGGCTCTAGCTTTCTCCCCAGCAACTTCTTTGCATCAATCAAACGCACAACTAACCACGGAGCCATCGACTAGGCCATGGGTACTGTGTCTAGTCTCCTGTGCATCAATGCATTGCACGCTACGCTCCGGGTGCAGATGGCTTTCGTCAGTCTCGTCTCCTCTGGTTGCAGAAGCAGAGCTGCTGAAGCACGTAGAGATCCCAAGTCCCTCAAGCCAGTTACTGCAATGTTTGCAAGGCTGGGCGGATTCACAGGTGCACAGGCCTGTGTCACAGGCCTTCTTGACTTTGATAGTAAATGTCCAGAATAAGGCATGGTATCTTTCATAGTCCACGGCTTTCTAAGTTTCCATAACATAGGAACAGATTTTCGCATAACACATTAATAACATGATGAAAGTAAGGAACCATAGACATAATAAGAGTTGCACAAGAATAATGAAAACACTGGAAATGATAAAGAAAAACACTGGGGAACTGCTTAGGCTGTCTCCAACAGAAGACCTATCGTGGAGCCCAAATCCAAAATGAGTCTCCAACACAATACCTATAGCCTCCAACGAAGTAACTATATGGAAGACCCATTTTAGGTGTTAGGAGAGGCATAATCAAAATCTGAGTATTTCTCTTTCCCGGAGACCTATTTGTAGAAAATGTTGACCAAAAATATGTATTGAACTCTTTGCTTGTAGCGCTACCCAAAGAACAAATGGGTCATGTATTTTGGGTCGCGGTTGTAGGAGACAGTCTTACAAAGGGATGCAATTTGTCTCAACGTTGCTGCTTGTTTGTCTATATTGTACATCATGATGGATCTCACAATAGCCTATCAGATCGAACAATAACACCAAAACTAAAGCAAGATGCAGAAGCAGCAAAGGCTCCAGACAGCCCACAAAGGCCAGCCCTGTCCCTTTTCTTTCTAGTCCTTGTTGTACATGCATTACAGGTTACTCTAAAACGGGAAAAAACAAAGCATCTAGGTACTCCTGACATTATTCCTCCGATTAAATTCTAGGTTTACAATGTTTCGCCTTCTGGTTCTGGAATGCACTAGATCTTCTGCTTGAGCACCTGGCGGAGCTGGACCTTCTGACTCTCCATTCGTGCCTCCATGAGCTTTGCCTTCAAGCTGTGCTTCTGGGACGTCCGCGGGTACTCTATACAGCCCTTGAAGCCCCGGTTGAATTGAATGTTCATCGAGTCCGGCGAGCTCCACTGCTCGACGCTCGGTGGACTGAGTCCTATTTCTTGGACGCCACTTTCAATAGTGGAATAAGTCCCAACTGAGAGCCGTACATTGGATGATCTTGCATTTACCGTTTCAACGGCATCTTTCTTGCATATCTCGCTGTTCTTTGGGCGGGACGATTTCCAGAGCTTTGAAATGGCTGATTCTTTCTTCTTGGGTTGGTTCATGCTTGTCAGGTAGGTATCAGCTAAGTCATCCTTGAGCTTCTCATTCTCCATATACTCGAAACCATTTTTGCTCCTCCAAGAAATGCTTCCGTCGCAGATCTTGTTGCTGACTGAAGGTTTGCTTCCATCAGGTGAACCACTTGAACCCTGCATATCTTCATGGCTTATTGTCTCCCAGCTGCTGCCATCTTCAGTGTCACTTTCATCTTTAGGGCTTTTGTTTGAGTATGCCTTGGCTTTCTTTTCAAGGAATATATCGGTCATTGGGCTAACCTCTTGAATTTCTGATTCACATTTGGCAGAGGTATTCTTGTAGCATGGCTCAATCTCCTTGATGACAGGCTCCTCACTTGGACGCAGCTCTTCAAAAATGGAAAATATGTCTTCTGATGCTGGTGGTGGCTCATATCTGAATTCAGCATCTTGGGCTCTGACTGACTTGATTGCCTGTATTATGTTCTCTGCTTCCTCTACTACTGTTATGTCTCCATTTGCAGTACTGCATTCAGCAATAAACGCCTCAACATCCTGTTGCAGTTTGCTCAGCTGTGTGTATTTTGCGTCGAGAGTAAGTTTTGCATCAACAAGCTTCATCTGCACCCGTTCTTCACGCCACACCTCAGACATCTGCAGCATCTTCCGCTCCTCGTCTACTTCCTCTCGCAGCCTCAGGGAGTCCTGTTTCAAGGCCTCAATCTCAGCTTTGTCTTCCTCCACCTCTCTTGCTAGCTCGTTGCACACCTCCTCAGTGAGCTCACGTGCCTTCCTCTCTGTATCATACTCTTGTAACAGCTGTTTTGCTGACATCTTGGCCTCCTTCAACTCATTAACGAGTTTCAAGTTAATCATCTCCAGACGCCTCCGGTTTTTCTTCTCATGGTCAAGGTCTGCCTTCATATCTTCGAGAATAGCACGCACCCTTTCATGCTCCCTGTTCCTCCATGCTGCTTTCTCCTCTGCAAGTTTCTTGAACAAGTGGTCAAGCTTCTTCTTAGCTGACCGCCGCTCAGTTTCCAGCTCACTTATCCTATCGCGTGCTTGCTGGAGCTCCATCTGGAGGTTAGCAACATACACTGTGTCTTGCTGCTCATTAAGAAGATTTAGCTGGCTGGCTATCAGATACGCATCATGTGATTCCATTCCCTTTATGTCCCCAGGCTCCCACTTTGTTGCCTTCTCCATGGTAGTAACAGGCAGCATAGCAGAAGTAGCATGAAGTTGTACCTGCAAAATTTGTTTTGTCAAACTGTCAATGATCTTACAGGCTGATACAAGTAAAAGCAGGTAATGAATGTCTTGTGGGTTCTCTCTCCCACCTTGTGGAGCTCTCCACTCTTCCTCTCCAAAACAGATATGGGGCTTGAAACCTCATTCTTCAAACTCTGGTGATGACCTGAAGTGTTCTGCTTCAGAAGCTGGACTTGTAGATGCCTTGGGATATGCTGTCACATAGGCACATATCAGAATATGACACATTTTTTTTGGCAGAATAGCCATTTTGGTCCCTCAACTATTATTCGAGGCTCAGTTTCGTTCCTGAACTTTCAAAACGGACGTTTTAGTCCTCAAACTATACTTTTAGGCTCAATTTCATCATAGAAATACGAAGATGATTGTTTTAGTCCTCAGACTTTGCATTTTGGGCTCAATTTCATTTATAAACTATGAAAGTGTATTTTGTTCTTTAAACTTTTATTTTCAACGCAACTTTGTCTACGTTCTATGTGGAACGCTGCACTGTTGCACCTGGTTAGCTCTAACACCACCAGCGATTGGAGATAGAAAAATAATATTCATACAAAAACTCTTTCGTGGCCATTAATAATTCCAAGCTGTTATTTTTAGTGTTACCTTATAATGGTACCATTTATATATATCCGACTAAATGATATTTGTGGGAG